AAAATATTTTCAGCAACTGCTAACTTGCCATCTTTTAATCCTGCCATAATTAAACACGAAAATATACAAATACAGAAACAAAATCTACCACCACACTGTTGTTGTTAAGTGCCATCGAGTCGAAGACAACTCATAGCGACCCTATGAAATGAAAGACCCTAACACTTGTATAACTTTCATCATTTCTCTTAAGTTCATAGTGTTTCTGGAGGCAAGCTATTTCAGAAGTGAATGCCACTCCTGCTTCCAAGCCTGTTTTAATCTGGGAGTTCTGCCAAACACTGTCCACCATGCATAGCCATTATTGTATATTTGACACATCAGGGTCACAGTGTTTAGCATCACAGCAACCATGAGTCACCTCTCCCATACCACCATAAAAACCAATAACTAAAGGTTATTTTAACCTCCAAAAAACCAGAAAGGAAATATTTTCAAAACAACAAGCCTATAAATTAAATTAGCTTAGGAAAAGTTCATGACAATAACCTTGTTATTTCATTTCACTAAATATTGTTAAGAATTTTATTATAGACCAATACGGCTACTAAAGAGCCACATTCTAAGTTTTTAAGGTACTCTGATGGCATAGTGTGCTCTGTGTGGCATTGCTACCCAAAAGGTCAATAGTTCAAAGGAGGAGAATGAGTAATATCCTGTAAAGAGGAGATTCTAGTCTCAAAAACTTGAAAAGAGGTCATTATGAGTCAGAATTGACTTGATGGCAGTGAGCTTGGCTGTTTGATTCTTGGTGGTGTTATGTGTCTTGGAGTCAGAATCAATCCATAGCTGACCCTATGGCAGGTTTTCAGAGGCAGTTAATAGAATGGGGGGAGACAGCCCATCCTTCCCTCACAGAACAGCTGGTGGGTTAAAACCTTGGGCATTTGAGATTGCCGTGCAGCTTCTTACCACTGTTGTTGTTGTTATGTGACGTCGAGTCGTTTGCGACTCATAGCGACCCTATGTACAACAGCCCTAAACCCTGCTCTAAACTGTGCCAGTCACATTGCCTCTGACTCACCCATCCCGATTACCCCAGTCACTGAATCAATCCACCTCATAGAGGGTCTTCCCCTCCTGCGCTGTCCCTTTACCCTACCAAGCATGACATCCCTCTCCAAGGACCGGTCTCTCCTTACAACATATCCAAAGTATGTCAGACGAAGCCTCAGAATCCTTGCCTCCAAGGAGCAGCCTGGTTTAACCCTCCCTAGGATGAAT